AGCAGGGCCCCTTGGGTGTTGGCAAACATTATGTACTACGGCCCCCTACAGGCCGGGTTGGAGGACACATGTGGATGCTTTTATATGGCACCACATTAACTTAAGCTGTGGCTAAATCCATTCTGAGGATTTGGTGCTGATGTCTCTCTGATATAAGGACACTTAGCACAGCTGCACTCACAACTAATCGGATTCACTGTACAACAGCACCATCTGGTGTTCACAAACTGAAGCATAATTAAACTACAACGGCTTTTTCGCTTCTTTTTTTTAGCACAGCATCATTCTAGTTAAGTTAAGTTAAGTTAACATGTTTATACAGTATATCGGTTTAAAAAATATACAAGTGTACTATAAAACATTTAATTTGTTAAATAAAAAACATAATCTAATAACACACATTCTTGTTTTCTTAAAAATGTCATCAGAGGAAAAACTCGTCTCAAACTGACTTCTACAAATTATTGCAGTTTTTTAAGTTACGTTTCATAAAACTCTGATAGGGAAATTTTAGGAAAATAATTGTGCGTGATACAGACATGTAATTGACATATTATTAGCATTAAGCTTAAAAAAAATGTGAACACTTCTGAGCCAGACTATCGTCTGCTGCATATTTATGTCAATGAGACAATGACTATGACTTTGGACACCTTAAGGCAGTAGTTCTATTTATACATTCATACGTTGGTCGTCTTTGTCTAAACCAATTAAATATCTTTGGTTCATTAGCCGAAAACCGCGGGGTTTTTTTCTCCATTATTTATTTGTAATAAAGTAAGTGATAAGAAATATATAACATACTGACTTAATAATATAAATATGGAATATAAATATAACTGTGTGTTTATGGCACTAGCTTCAGTTTAATGTGCTCTGGAGGAGGGGGGGTGCCGGGTGGGGGTCCTGTGCCACGTGTTTCTCCCACTGGACGTTAAACACATAATTCTGTGACCAACTTTATTCCTATTCACACCGTGAATATAACTTTAAATATTTAAATATTATTGTAATAAATGTTGTGACGTTGTGAATATGAATGTCTACTTCGCGGACAGGTATCAACCGTTAGAACACGGTGACCATGGAGCTCCTTTAGGAAAATGTAAACATTATTGACGCTAATGACGACAAGCGAGAAAATTCAACGTTTAACCCAATTTTTTCCCTCTATTTCCGGTCGGCAAGTTTTCTTACCTTATAGTGGCTCAAGTGGTAACTGTTTCGTCGTAGTTTTCCCGTTTTCACGTGAAAAATTTGCTTTACTACGACTTACATCACCGACATTTTACCCCCCTTCCCTCCTCGGTCACAAGGCGGTCAAGGACTCCTTCCTCTAAGCCCCGCCCTCGCTCCGTGAGTTTAAATTAGGCGGGGGTCCAGAACCAACTGTCTGTCTGTACAGTGTTGCAGTTGATTCCAAAATGGTGGGCCTCCAGGGGTCAATTGAGAAAATGGATTTCAACCATTTTAATCTCATTATTAGGTCAAATATATGATTCAATTCTACGGATTAATTGCTGGTTTATAAAAAATATAATTAAGTATTATAAATTAAATTCTAGAGTCACCTATTTTTTATACATAGAACAATATATAATAAGGTACATTTACATGTTTTTACAGGATTATTATATATATATATATACACACACACAGACAAAAGCCATACAATCTTACAAAATTAAACCATTCCATTATTTCTTTTTCTTAACTTTTCTTTTTTTTAATTTTAAGTCACTTTGGATAAAAAGGTCTATCGTAATGCAATTTACTCTAGCGGCCCACATGGTGTACTGCACATACTGGTGAGTTCGGCTGCAGGGACGCTGCTCTCTGCGTCCATTTTCTCATTCTTTTACCATTTGGGACCTACTTTAATATTTGTAAATTGCTAAGGATTGAATTGAAGTGTGACAAGAATGATCTTGGTCACTGAGGTAAACCAAGATGGTGATTATTTCATTTTAATTAATCATTAATTATTGGTAAGTGACGTTTATTAGTCCCCTGCACGTCGTCAACATCCATGTTTTTATAGCGGCTCTACAGAAAGTCCTGAGGTCTACAGACCACTGTGACAGACAGTTTTATTGTCTGTAAAGGGGTGGGGGGAGGAGGGGTGTAAAACACACGTGCAGCTGGTTTTGTCCCGACTGACGCACCAGCAGAAGATAAACACATTAATTGACTGCAGATGGAGGACTGCTCTGGTCCTCACATGACATGCTGGGCTGTGATGACCATGCCAGTCAAAGTGCGTGGAGGTGTAGTAGTGAGGTGGTAATGAGTGGATGCGGTGCCGCCGCCGCTGCAGATGCAGACAGGTGTGGTGTGGCCGCGAACACGCAGCCCGAAGGCTGCAGCGAGCCACCGGTGGTTGCAGATGATGGAGGCGGCGGGGCGTCCACTCAGAGACAAGAGAAGGTGGAGGTGCACGACGGATGACAGATGCATGATGGGGTGCATGTGGGTCTGTTTGCATTTGCATGCAGAAACACCGGCTTTACCTTAATTACGGAGCGATCAGACAGTTGGGGATCGCGGGTAAGCGGAGACAGGAGGTGGAGGAGGCGGAGAAGAAGGAGGAGGAGGAGGGGGAGACACGCATGCAGGCGCAGTGATAGACGGGGGCTGGGGTGAGAGGAGGACGTGTTTTTTCTTTTTCTTTTTTTTTTGTGTGCACATAATTTAAGAATTTAATGTTTTCTGAAGCTGACTGTTTTTTTAAAGAAACCAGTGTTAAACTCAGAAAAACGATCTAATAATATAATAATGTTCTATCAGATTTTATTGTAACACGATGTAAAATAATAATGTGCTATATATCTATCTATTTAAATATGTTTAGACAGCAGTAAGACTGCCCAACATCCGGCACGGGGGGCTGTCACTGTACTTGAATAGGTTGGATATGGACAAAAATTTTAAAAAAAATATATATATTAGGCAACAAGAACAAATTATTGTTGACCAATATTATTACATTTTGTAACCATAATTTACTGTGCAAAGGTTCGCCTCTACTTCTACTATATGCACCATATAAAGACGCCAAACCATGCAGCCCCACCACATATATATAATACATAGCTACATACTGTATATATACACACACCATTTTTAGTTAGTTAGTTTTTTTTTGTGTGCAGATGTAATTTTAAATCTCTGATTATCATCGTTACTTACAGTGTTGCCGTCGACTCTCGCTGTTGTCAGTCAAGCTGTGATGAGAAGGTTCCAACAGTGAGGCTTCTGCTGCGTCATCCCTGTCAAGTTATTAAAGTGTTAGGAGCAGCTCGCACTGTATGATCTGAATAAGTATTATATATTAGCTCCAGGCTGTATAATGAGTTTGATTAGACTTTACCTGTACCATGGGTCTCAAACTTTACTGCCAAATGTTAAACATCTCCAAGCACAGAAATTTGATTATTATTTAACCTACGTCTTATATTTTAAACTAGTAATTAATGACCCTCATGTCACATGCATGGTTTGTTGATTCAGAGTTTACGTTCAAAGTTACGAAACTTTTCTCGTGCGCACGACAAAGTATATCTCGTGCTCACCAGAGACCTTAGGTGTGCCTATGCCCTTTTTTTTAATCCAATCTCGCGACATTAAAAATGTTTTAATTTCAGGAATTTTCATTATTTTCGTGAAAAATAATATTTTTCTAGCCTAAAGGGGAAAACAGTATTTAAATAAACGAATAGACAATCTAAGATACCGGCATGTCATTCGTGACATACAGTATGTACTGTATATATGGTGAGCATTTAATTACTGTAGGGTACCTCAGTTAGACACAGGAGGGCACTGTTGTTCGACTGTTGATAACAGTGTAAGGAGGTTAGTGAAGGGTAAATACCAATAAACGTAATCATTCATAACTATCTCGACTTCGTGATCACTTCCACGTAATTAGCACAGTGAGTTTGCTTTGTGCATGAAATGCGCTCTACTTCAAATGAATGAAATGATGAATAAAAGTCAACCTTAGAGCCAAGAATGTGGCTCGTTTACACGATTCAGTTGAATTGTACTTTATGCTTAGCTTGAGGTATGGTAGAAAAGTACTTTGTCAGAAGCTATCTCGTGAGCTCAAAATAGTGGCGATTTTAGGAAAATCACCTCATCAAAAATCTAAATAAAAAACTGCCCTCTGGTGGCTGCCAGCAGTACATACACGTGCTGCTACCAGTTGAGGCCCAAATGTAAGTTGGTAAAGCGGAAATATCCCCCACATTCCCTCAAAGAAATAATAAAGGGGAAGGGGTGGGGTGGGGGTGAGGGGGTTCTCTCCAAACATGAGTCAAAATTACTCAGGTAAGATTAACTATGCATGATATTATTTTCATACCTGATACAGAGTTTCATTAATTTGATTTTTATACACGAAATTACAACGACATGATATTAAACCAATTAAAACGACATTGGGATAAAGTTTTGCTTCTGTATCGTGTTCTGAACACTAGCAAAAAGCAAACAGATGACGGCTGAATCATGTTTGCTTTCATTCGATGTTATATCATAAATGGCCACTAGGCGGCAGCATTACACAAGTTCATAAGTGACAGAATATGATTAACACCAAGCTGCACTCTTGGTGCTTCTTGTGATTGTGTTTCATATTCAACATCCAGACAGTGGGACAGCTTTGGTAAGTGGGTGGGGTAAGTTGCCTTACAACTAGTGTCACGGGTTTGATGCTTGTCATACTCTTCATATTTTGGTCTGAGATCCACATTTTTATATATATATTTTGGCTTAGGACCTGCAAATTGAAGAAAGTAAAGGTCGCATGCCTTCATAGTCGCAGGGAAAAAAATTTTGAATTGTAGATTTGAATAAATTTTAAAATAACATTTTTTTATTGCATTCATGTCACAACAGTGCAAGTTTTCATTCTCATCTACTTTCATCACTTTTGACACAAAACAAAACAGGACAACATCAAATGGACACTGACAGAAAACAATGACAGTAGGAGACATGTTTTGTATTTTGACTTTAATTTTCAGCAAAAACATAAAAAAGAAAATCAATTGTTCTTGTTCCTGTACAGGCGTTGACAAAACACAAAGCACTGTATCCCTAAAAACACTGTGTGATGAAGAAAACCTCATTTTGGCTGTCAGAGAAATTATTTCAGTACCTGAATGATTTTGCGTTGCTGAAAGAAACCTTCAAAAAACCATAGAAAGCGTAGGACTGGCCTACATTTAGCGCTTATAGGCAAATTTACAAAAAATATGTTGCACAGTATGTAAATAATAATAATTAAAAAAAACTAAATTGAAAAGTCATCTTTAAAAACCCTGTCCTTATCCGAGCATTATCAAAGACCTTAGAAAAATACTATTCACATGTATGTACAGTGGGTCCGGCCCATGTAGTCAACATAACTCAATGCCCGATCAATAAGTTAATCAACAGACAGGGTGAGTTACTGTCTTAAATAATCCAACTAGCATAATTTATGACCAAAAATATTCAAATATACACAGAAAAAAAAACATCCACATCCATCCATTCACTCTCTCCTGACAGGAAGGCACTTGATCCATGAAGTACATTTGTTTTTGATGAAGACGCTCTGACTAAAGGCACTACGGTAATGTCAGGGTTCACTGCCCGTGACCGTGTTCTGAAAGCAGGTCCACTGACATGTCCGTTCTGGTCCCAGTGCGTGGACCTACATGTGCCTCTTCATATGCAGGGCCAAATGATCGGACCTGGAGAAGGCACGCTCACAGAGGTGGCACTGAAACGGCCTGTGACCCGTATGTTTTCTGAAGTGACGGGTCAGCTCATCTGATCTGGCGAACTTCCAGCCACAGCCTTCCCAGTTACAATGGTAGGGTTTCTCACCTGAGGGAAGAAATGGAAATGAGTTAGAGTTGGAATTGAAAATTGGTTAAATTTCAACAGATAGATTTTATTATTCTGGTAAATAAAATCAGGTAAGACACTGACCAGTGTGAGTCCGCATGTGCGCCTTGAGGTGGGAACTTTTGGTGTAGGTTTTCCCACATCCGGGGAACTCGCAGTTGTGGGTTGCAGCTCGTTTCCTGGCCCACGACCTGCGACCCCGCTTCTGCTTAATGCTGCCCACTTCGTCCTGTGGGTAAAACTCAACGAACGAGGGCGAAGAGGGTGGAGTGAGCATCACACCCTGTACGGAGGCTTGGTAGTGCTGCTGGTGGACGTGCACAGGCTCTCTGTGCATACTGTACTGTCCCTGGAACTGTGGCAACCTCTGGTGCGTGAACTGTGGCTGGTACGGAGAAGTCATGTAGTGGGCCTGGTGGTGGTGCTGGTGGTTTTGAGAAGGATGATGATGATGATGTTGATGATGGCTGAGATGGTGGAGCTCTGTGTGTTCCTGTGGCGCCATGTCTACCACATGCAGCTGCATGTGGTAGACATTAGGAAGTGCAGCATGTTGCTGCTGGTGCTGCTGGTGCTGCTGGTGGTGGTGCGAAAACGCAGCAGGGTGAACGGAGCGAATCTGGTGCTTTTCAAACACTTGTCCCATAAAGTGTTCTCCACCTGCAGCAGCAGCAGCAGTCATCATACACGACTGATCTACTGGCTCGTTTTTTATTTTGAATCCAAGCAGTGAAGGTGGCGCTTGTTGTTCTGGTGAAGTCGGGATGATGACGGGATTTAACGCCCGCAGTTCCGTGTACTCCCGTCCATCCCTCGGCTTCCCCGCACTCTCGGGTGAACTCTCCCCGGGGTAGTTTAGCTCGGGGGTGAGAAGCTCCGCCATTAGGCTGGGCACGGGTCTGGAGCTCGTGAACGTCGCTACGGTTTCTGGGTAACTGTGCGCGGCCAGGTGCGGTGACGGGTGCTCGCTGCAGTCCGGCAGCGAACCGCAGCTCTCCGGGGAGTCTGGCAGAGAATACGCACACTGCTGCACCGGAGGTGGAGGAGAAACGTTGCTGCTGCTGCTGCTGCTCCCAACATCAGCGGAGTCCACTGTGTTGGACAAAATGAACTCGAGGGCCAGGGACT